CACTTTCTTCACAAGGCAGCAGGAAGAAGTGCCAATCAAAGGGGGAAAAGTCGCTTATAAAACTATCAGATCTTGTGAGAACTCAATCACTATCATGAGAAGAGCATGAGGGAAATTGTCCTCATGATCCGATTACCTCCACCTGGTCTGTGGACAGGTGGAAATTGCAGAGATTATCCAGGTTATAACTGAAGATGAAATTTGGGTGAGGACACAAAGCCTAACCATATCAATATGTGTGCATAACCAAATATACACACAAAGGCAATAAAAAAAATAAAATGTTGACAGTGATCCAGGTATTACAATTAACCTGCTTTCTTGTGCTTCTCTTCATTTTTTAATAAATAACATATGTTAATTTTTATTAAAAAGCACAAACTTATTCTAAATAGAATAGGTTATAGATGTTTTGTAGTCCTATTTGATGCACATTATTAACAAAATCATTCGTGTGCAATAGGCAAATTTTTATGAAGAGAAAATAATAATAAAATGACAATGTGGTCGTGTGATAAAGATTAAAAGTATTTTAGCTTTCTAAGTTCAAGACAAAAGGCCTAAGAAAAGATGGACTATCTCTTTTTAAATAGCTAGAGTGTTATTGTGCTAAATTGTCTTTATCAAAAGATGAAGCCTCCATTTCCAAAGAAGACTGGCCAGAGAGAAAAGTTCCAATAGTAGAAAGAGAAAGTATATCTTTATATCAGAGTGAATATGGAAGTTAATTGCTAAAGATGACTAATTATCATTTGATCAGTTGTAGGCACCAGTACTAACACTCAAAATATTTACTATGTAGGCTTTAATGTTAACTTGAAAACAAATAGCTAAACATGATGCATAATAGCTAGGAAAATAAGTAACATCATATTTCATAGGTTACATAAATTGTTCCAGTCCTTCATCTCTATTGCTACAAGGGATGGCCTTATAAAGCCATATTTTTATAGTGGAATCAATTCCATTTTGTCTTTCAATCCTTATGCTTGCATCATTATATTCATAGTGTCTAAATAAGTACCACTGATAGAGGGTATACACATGATCCTAAAGAGAAATATCGGTATTAAGTGAGGAGATATTCCTTATTTACCCTCGAAGGGAGAGACCACAGATAGTATCCATTTTCAAAGAGTGCTCAGGAATGAGGAAAGAAATCTGTTTCCCCAGGATTTTCATTACTAAAATTTGGGGCACAGTGCAGAAAATGCATTGCATTGGGCACTTCACAATTCTGATGTTTTACAGTAGCTACATAAATGCAAATTTAAGTAGAGGGCTGAATGTATCTTTATTAGCACTCTTTCAAAGATACAGAGGGATTTTGGCAGGAAAGGCATCTGTGCAACAGCATGAAGCTTTTACATTTCCACAAGTTCAAATTGATGGAAATATATTGACATGCTTGGCTTCTTTTTATTTCTTGTGAGGGAAATCCTCTCTGTCTTTCTCCCTCTTTTCCTTCCTCTCTCTATTTTTCTCTCCAAAGCCTTTATTCAGTTGATATTTTTGTTACCTAAAACTTATAACCTCCAAACTACAATCGACACATAGGTAACTCATGCTATTAAGATATTTGTAAGCTTTACTGAGGCGTTTATATAAGGTCTTTGAACAGCAGTCTAAGAGTGACCAGTAAAATAACTTTTAGTGGCTATGTAGTCAGCGATGTGGACAGAGTCAGCCTGGATTTCATTAATCTACTGGCCTTCCTTTTTAATGCTTATTTTTTAAATATTTTAGGAATAATTCAGCAAAGCATCATAGTTGTGTTTTATAGCTTTATGACCTGAGGCAAGGTAATATTTTTCTTCCAAGCCTCAATATCCTCCCTTGTAAAATGAGTTAATAATACTGTAATATAGTCTAATGTGGTATTGTATAGTACGGTTCACAGTATTTGCTGACAATTAGATAAGGCAATGCATGTAAAACTTTTAGAACATGGCTGGCACAAAATAAAGAGTTGGATAAACAATACGTATTACTTTGAAAGAAGTAGTGATAGGAATATGTAAAAACATTTTATTGCCATAAGTCAAGGTGGAGAATGTTTGTGATAATGTGCAGCAGAGAACTTGGAAGTCAAATGTGGGGGATGGATAACTTTAGGAAAGAAAATCATGCCATTCTTGATGATTATTATTCACTTGAATTAAGCACCCACTCTGTTCCAGGCATCAAGCAAAGCAATGCGCATTCATTTTTCCTGTTTCTCAGAACAACTTGTTATTAATGATGTAACCACTCATTGAAGTAAAATAGTTCACCAAATTAAACACTAGCAAACAGAAATGTCAAACTCTGATCTCACATCTTCTCAATACCAAATCCTATTTTACGCGCTCTAAACCTCACTATAATTGAGAAGTTGCTCAGGTAAAAACACACACCAGGAGACATGCAGGCTTTCTCACACTGGATTTGAATCAAGTTAGGGGCAGAAAGCCTGCCCTCCAATGGTCATAGAGCAGAACTGCATCATGGACAGGCTTCATGGAAAATGGTGGATCCTCTGATTTCAGGGCCGCAGGACTTAACTCTAATGCCGACCTAGAAATGTTGGTGGAGCAATGATCTTTAAAGAGGTGGAAACTAACTTTAAAAAATGGCAAATGGGTACACTTTAGGCAAACTACAAAGGAAAGATAAATAGGTTAATAGTGAGTAGGATTTTCAGGGCTTGAAGAATCAACTTGAGCGTGGTTTTACCATATTTGACCTCCACTGCACTTTTGTTCTTGGTCTGAAAAAAGATCAACTGGCCTTTCGACAGCCAAGAAACCTTTTGTGATAAAGCAGGGGTAAGTCCTGGGAGAGTCTGTAAGCAGAATTTTGTCAGAGTTGATCATTCTTACATGAAAATTAATTGTACCACTCATTGTTTATTGCTTGGTAGATTAAGACCCAGAAGTGGGTAAATGTTGCAGTGCTTTGAAGAGGTAACTAGCATAGGAGTCCCGAAGTTAGGGGCCAAGCCAGATTTCTCATCTGTTGAGTACTTTGGGGCTAGCCTTAGGCTGCTTAAGACCCCAGGCAGACATTTTTTTTTTTTTTTTGCAGCTCTTTCCATATGTGTAATTTGATTTAGCAAAGTAGATGTGTTAGGACTACTCACATAGCCCAACTTCCAATGATCCTAAGAAATAAATACTACAGAGGCTAAGGGAGGTAATTTGATTTTTCAAGGAGCCTGTGCAGTCCTAAGATGATCCGTAGAGGCAAAATTTCTAGAGTTGTTCAGGACATTTGGGAAATGCCATGTGGGGTCCAGGTGAGAAGGTGCCCTGAAGGGAAAATATGGGAATCAGAGACCCTTGCAGACTCCACTCAAGACAGTACCGCCAGTTCTCCCCCAGTATCCAAGGCAATCTGGAAAGTTTTGAGGAAAGGCAGTCAGAGTGCAAAGACCACTAGAGTGAATGCTTGGGGGTGGGGAATTTCCCTTTTCTGGGGCAAAGAATGTTACTGATCTACTTTAAAATGTTCTTAAGAGGAATAAATTAGAAAATCCTTGTGACTTACTTAGATATTTCCTTGGAGACCATCAGCAATCAATTGATGTTAGATAGCTAATGATATCCACCCAGTATTCACAAGCTGTGCCAACTAAACCAATCTTTATATACACTCCAGTCAGGTGACTGTATTTTTATTTTCATTGGTTTATAAGTAGGTAAGCATGATTCATGATATTTGGTATAATGCTCATAAAACTTTTTCTTCTAAATAACCATGACCCTGACCTTGGAATTTTGGAATTCCCATCTGAACCTCCTTCCCTTATTCCGAAGAGTAGGAAATAAAAAGGCAAGACATGAAAGTCAATAATTTTGTGCTGCTAAGAAGTAGATGGTTGCCAACAGAATGGGAAAAAATTTTTATAATCTATGCATCTGACAAAGGGCTAATAACCAGAATCTACAAATAACTTAAACAAATTTATAAGAAAAATCAACCCCATCAAAAAGTGGGCAAAGGATATGAACAGACACTTTTCAAAAGAAGGTAGTTATGCAGCCAACAAACGCATGGAAAAAAGCTCATCACTGGTCATTAGAGAAATGTAAATCAAAACCGCAACAAAATACCATCTCATGCAAGTTAGAATGACGATCATTAAAAAATCAGTAGACAACAGATACTAGAGAGGATGTGGAAAAATAGGAACACTTTTACACTGTTGGTGGGAGTGTAAATTAGTTCAGCCATTGCGGAAGACAGTCTGGCGATTCCTCAAGAATCTAGAACTAGAAATACCATTTGACCCAGCAATCCCATTATTGGGTATATGCCCAAAGGATCATAAAACATTAATGTATAAAGAAACATGCATACGTATGTTTATTGTGGTAATGTTTACAATAGCAAAGACTTGAAACCAACCCAAAGGCCCATTAATGATAGACTACATAAAGAAAATGTGGCATGTATACACCATGAAGTACTATGCAGCCATAAAAAGGATGAGTTCATGTCCTTTGCAGGGACATGGATGAAACTGGAAATCATCATTCTCAGCAAACTGACACAAAGCCAGAAAACCAAATACCACATGTTCTCACTCATAAGTGGGTGTTGAACAATGAGAACACATGGACACAGGGAGGGGAACATCATACATTGGGGCCTGTTGGGGGCCAAGGATGCTAGAGGGGAGAGAGCAGAGGGTGGGGAAGTTGGGGATGGATAGTATTAGGAGAAATACCTAATGTAGATGATGAGGAGATGGATGCAGCAAACTACCATGCCATGGGTATAGCTAAGTAACAAACCTGCATGATCTGCACATGTACCCCAGAACTTAAAGTATGATAACAGTAAAGAAGAAGCAGATGGTTGCATTTAGGTGGTCTAAAGTTACATAGTGGTGTTTGGCAAAACATATATCCCCTTTGCAGCTCAAGCCCTTTATTTTGAATAAATTGCTGTAAGTATAAATGAGTCTTTCACATTGTGATGGTGCACTCTCACATGGTTCTTTCTTGTCTTTGCAGATCCCCCAGATTAGTTACGCATCAACGGCACCCGAGCTAAGTGATGACCGGCGCTATGACTTCTTCTCTCGCGTGGTGCCGCCCGATTCCTTCCAAGCCCAGGCCATGGTAGACATTGTAAAGGCCCTTGGCTGGAATTATGTGTCTACTCTCGCATCCGAAGGAAGTTATGGAGAGAAAGGTGTGGAGTCCTTCACGCAGATTTCCAAAGAGGCAGGTAGGATGAGATTGTTCTGATCAAGTTGGCTCTCTTCACATGTCTGTGGCTTGTAGAGTTCTCTTCAGGCTTTATTGAATAAGCAGTACAGATTCACATTCCCAGAGTCCTGTGAAGTACACCTGTAATGTCTTCATTTGTAAGAATTGGGTTTTTTTTTTAAGAGATTTCGAAATTGAGAAACTGAGATCCCTTGAGTACTAATAGAATAAATGAAGAAATTACATACTAAAGTTAACATCTTACTTCTGCAAAATTGGTGATAGGGTGGATTCTAGCCTGTGTATGAAAACATGGGAAAATGTGGCTGGATGTGCTTCCCCCATGGAAACTTTTCTCTCTGCCTCTTTCCAAAATGGAGGGAATCATTTAGAATTATGTGAATGCAATCACAGTGCCGCTTTGATTCGAAGAAGACCTGGAATTCCTCTGAATGACTTGGCCAAAACAAAAGTAAATAAATTGTCCAGGCAGTAGAATGTATTTAGACAAACAGTCTTTCAAACTTCAGATTATTTTGAGACAGTTCTCTTTAGCAGCACTTGGAGAAGATTCTCTTATGTCTGTTTATTTAGCTCAGATTGGAAGTAATGGGTTCAAATATTTGGCCAGCTGCCTTCCACTGGGCAGATTTTTAAAAAGGAGACAAAATTCTCACACTTAGAAACTGACAATAGCTATTCAGGTTTCCCCATATGGATGTATTAGATATGGTAAATACATACAAATATGCATGCTTAGATATTCCCATACAGTTCTTATGTTAAAATTGCGTGCTCAGTGTTTGTAAGCATTTCATGCAATTTAAATTGTTATTTACCAGTACAGTTTACTGACCGTGAAAGCAAACAAACAAGCAAAGCAATAGAAAGAGAGTTCCATGTTATAAGGAAAGATGTCATAAATTCTGAAAATGTAGCTTCAAGTATTTGACTGTCAGACTACAGATATTCTCAGACGTATATAATGCTTCCAGACATGGATGATGCTAAAAGAAAGGAGCTACGGCTATTTTATAAATTCCATGTTTTGTTGTGCGCGTGACAGAGTCTTCCTCTGTCACTCAGGCTGGAGTACAGTGTTGTGATCTTGGCTCACTGCAACCTGTACCTCCCGGGTTCAAGCGATTCTCCTTCCTCAGCCTCCTGAGTAGCTGGAACTGCAGAAAAGAAGGCGAGGAAAAATGAGAGTTTTGTCTCATTTTTCAGAGTTTCTAAGTGTGAGAATTTTGTCTCATTTTTGTATTTTTAGTAGAGATGAGGTTTCACCATGTTGGCCAGGATGGTCTCCATTTCTTGACCTCATGATCCACCTGCCTTGGCCTCCCAAAGTGCTGGGATTACAGGAGTGAGCCACTGTGCCTGGCCAATCCCATGTTTTCAATTCAGTGCATCATTAGCTGTAATTTCAGAACTTCACAAGAGATCTGTGATATTCTCATACTCTTCCTTCTGACTTAACACAGCTGACTAGATAGCTTCTAATAATTGTCAAGTCTTGTCCTGACCAGCAATTCTAGGTTCAAATGCAGCACTCACAAAAATTTCTTTTGTTTTGTTGATTTGGTCTTACATTTCTAGTGTCTTCTCCCATAGCACTTATCACAGGTTAGTATAATTTTTTATTTGTTGGTTGGTTTTTTTCTATATAATCATCATGACTATAGAAGACCATGTCTGTCTCATTTTCTACTATGGCCCCAGGTGCTACATTCTTAAGGGAAAAATTTATGCAGTAACTCAGAAACTTTCTGATTAGGAAAGAAGTCTTAACTCTGGCCTCGTGGCATTCTGTGATTTATAGGACCCATTAACGGTTGACTTCATAAATCCCCAAAGAGGTATCTAATCATTTTTGATGACTATGTTTTTATTTCTTTCTTTGTTTTTCTGAATCCTATGTTGATCAAACTAAGGCTGGAGGCTGACTTTGAAAAATATCTAAAATATCAGGATAGAATAAAATAGATAAAATATGATGAAAATATGGGTAAAATAATAAGGCAAAGCTTAGATATAAAGGACAGATGCCATTTTGCACTATATAATTGTTAAAAGTGATCCTCAAATTTTACACTAAACTTTTATGTCTTTATTTTATTTTTTATATATATTTTATTGCATTTTACGTTCTGGGGTACATGTAAAGAACATGCAGGATTGTTGCATAGGTACATACATGGCAATGTGGTTTGCAACCTCCATCCCCATCACCTATATCTGGCATTTCTCCCCATGTTATCCCTCCCCAACTCCCCACCCCCCACTGTCTCTCCGCTAGTCTGCCCCCACAGACCTCCGTGTGTGATGCTCCCCTCCCTGTGTCCATGTGTTCTCATGGTTCAACACCTGCCTATGAGTGAGAACATGCAGTGCTTGATTCTCTGTTCCTGTGTCAGTTTGCTGAGAATGATGGTTTCCAGGTTCATCCATGTCTTTTAACTGGATGAAGCGAAGGCAAAACAGTGCTCATTCTGTTACAAGATTTACAGTGTTCATGAGGTAAAAATCGAGTTGATGATTCTGTAAAGTACAGCTTTCCTTGCCTTGGGATGAAGAAAAATGTTTGCTCTGGGTCTGTATAAAAAACTATATTCTATAGACTGGTCAATGGTGACTTTCATATGGTTATTTATTCCTGGTGTCATTTGGTAGAAACTTAAGACATTAATATCTGAGTTTGCTATTACATATAATGACTCTGCAAAAAGGAAAAGCTGTTATATGATCTGACCTCTCCAGCTTATATTTTTGGCTAATCCTACGCCAACTAAAAAATAAGAATTCTATCAGTGGCAGCCACTTTGAATGTAATCTTCCCATCCTAGAGCCTTTCCCCTTGAGGATGGGAGTAGCTAAAAAGCCAGCTGGTGCTGCAGAAATGCAACGAAACAGTGAACATTTAAGTGATGCCTTTAAGATTAATACCTTTTCAAGGTATTAATAATAAGTATTATGGTATTTGGTATGTATTTATAATAAGCATTTAATAAGTACTCTTTTGTACATATTATAGCATTTGATATGTTTGATAATAAGTTTAATAAGTATTATATGTATTATGGTATTTGGTACATACTTATAAGATTCATCAGAACTATATCACATGTGCAAGTGATTTAGATGCATTAACATATATGCTTAGCAAACATCCCTTCTTTTAGAGGAAAGAAGGAGAGGAAATTAGTTTAAATGGTGTGGAGTAAGTCTGCTCAGTTTTGGCATGGCCTAGAGAAAACATGAACTACATTCAGTGAGTTTCATTTCTGTGGGCCTCTTATGATGCCTGTATCTTGCTGCTGCAAAGCTGATTCTGGTATTTAAAGACACACATCCCTTGACCTCTAAAAATAATCCATCTCCTTCCTCTGATATTCAATTGAAGAAAAAATTGAACATGAAAATAAAAGAAAAACTTATCTATTGGAATTTCTGGGCAGTATACATGGTTAGGGAATTCTCCAGGGTAATTTTAAATGTTCACTTTTTCTTTACCTGCAGTCTCAAAAAACCCTCAAAAAAGTTACAAACCCACTGTGTATGGGTAGGTGAGGTGACGTGGCACAAACGTAAGTAAGCATACCGGTTATGGTGTCAGAAAAATTGGATTTGAATAATGGACTCCAGCATTTTCTATTTTAACAATTTTGACACATGATTTAACTTTTCAAGCCTGAACTTCCTCACAGAAAGAATGAAATTAATGATTTCTGCTTCACCAGTTTGGTGGAATATATAAAATGATGCATGAGGAAGCATTTAATACCAAATAATATCTGATTACAGTGCATCACACTGGGTCCCTATATATAAGTAGAGTTGGTTGAATCTGAAAACTTTGAAAGTAACTTGAGTAATAGATGTTATCCGCCTTGAGTTGTAATTAGAGGGTTATTTTTAAGCTGTGGTTATTCTTATTAACATGCTCCTACCATGTAAGATGGATAAGAAGAAAAGGAAGTGAGCTATTTGTATTGTCCTATGTTTGTAGAATATGTGTATGTATATATGTGTGTGTGAGAGAGAGAGACAGAGAGCAAGAGTGAGAGAGAGAGAGAGAGAAAAAAAGAGAGAAAGGGTGCATAGACTCAATGACGTTGTTTCTGTGTCCCACTGGTAGCTTGGAAGGATTTATCTGCATTCTTTCTGAACAGCTTGACTTTGAAGATTGTGATTCTTTTCCTCCTCACCCTTTTAGAATGCTTTAGCTTCAAAATTTATTTTAGACTTAAATCCTGAGGGAGAGGCTACTTTTACACCAGAGCCTAAAGCGTCTCCACCACGTACACAGTCACAGTGCACGGATGAGTGCCTCTTCATTATTTTCTGATAGAACAAATCAAGACAATGATGTCAGAGAAAAGAAGGCATCCTTTAACAGAGGCCATGTAATTGGTTTAAAACATGGAAGTCTAGGCACATTCTCTCTAAGCTGTCAAAGAAAACCTCAATAATTATTCTTTCAAGTATAGTCCTGGCAGATTTAAATATGCATGGATGCTGTTCCTAGTTGAACTTTCAAAGAGAACTGTAACATGATTTTCTCAGATGATGAGAGCTTGTAAAATAGTTATATTTGCATAAATTGCCCTATTTATTTGAATGAATGCACATGCAATAGCAACAAAGACAATTTATTTCTTAATATTGCAGGGAGTGAGAGAAAATCCACTCTCAATGTGCTTTAAAATTCAGGTAGACATAAATGACCTAAATTAGACATTAAAAACTTCTTTAAGTGAGGGTCAAGGTAAATCTCTGTGATAGCATGTGGCATTAATAAGTTCCAGATCCTTTTAACCAAATCTGATTCAAGCTCTATAAGACTAAGGACTACATATATGACTTTTACTCAGGAAAATCTCATAGACACTGCTTCACAATACAGCACAAATAATAACATTTGTTACTGCTATGCTACCATCATACATGTCGACTTCTCAAAGCTTAACAAGAATTATCCTTTTGGTGTTTCACGGTGATCACTTAACATAGTTGTAT